CTCGCCACCGCCGCGGGACGGTACACGAACGAACAGAAGGAAGGAGCGTTTTCCCAGCAGCACACATCCAGCCCTAGGCTGACGTGTTGAGAGAAAAAACCTGCTCCGCAAAAGCGTAAACTGACAAGAGAGGATAAATGACTACTCACAAAGTTAAAATTCAGGCTGCAATTCCGTACTGAAATAGTCAAGCAAAACCAGGGATAATAGGCAGGGCTACCTCATAAAAAGTTCTCTATAGGGATGACTAAATCTTGCTGTCACATAGTTATCTGCTTAGATCAGCAACATCTGATGTTCCTGATCCACTGTGGTTGTTTGCAGGTTCGAGCCATGGGCAGGCAACGATTCAAAAGCAAGTTCTTCCTTTGTTTAAACTATCTCACTTTAGAAATTAATGCATTTAATCACATGATAGAAGCCAGACTTTCTGTTGCTGAAGAAAACCAATGTACTTATTACGCTTCATAGCTTACGCTACTCCAAACTACTGAAATATTTGAAAGCAGACAGCATTTTGCCAGTCATCAGAGACCCACAGTCCGATTTAACCACACCCTTACAATGAAAATTACAAGTCAAACCAAGCTATCATAAAATTACAAGCAAACTAAATCTGTATTTCTTTGTCAAATATCCAGTACTCTGCAGAAATCCAGGCAAAAATGCGCCTGCGCCACTGCTCAATTTGCCTTTTTTTTTAATCCACGTAACACCCACATAATATTCTTTATTATTCTAGTGAGAACATTACATGTCTTTGAAAGAGTCCTGATTTCAAGGACACTCTTCGTAGCGTTATATTTGCTTTAGCAGTGCTTATTACTTTTGCTTGACTTTGTGTAAATGAAGTTGAGGTTATGTGAGAATATTCTTACTGGTCAAGGACAGACAGAAATGACAACATAAAATCACACTCTAGTCCCAGAGAAAGAACTATCTGCCAATTTTGCACTGGGCCAACTGTTGGGACACTGGGTACAGGAGAAAAACAAGCAAATTAGGACTGAAGTGAGCTCACAAGGAAAGTATTCTGCCCTGAGGGATGTTTACCTCCTAAATGTGGCTTATAGCCTCTTTTACAAATACTGCTCAGACTCGGCAAGCTAGCCGGGCAGTGAGATTTTATGCAGCAACAATGATTTCACTTTTGTGGATACACAAGTCTCGGCTGTTAGAACATGTATTGAAACATATAGCTTATCCGCAACCATTTATAAACACGTACATGTAACAGAGAGATACAGAAATCCTGAGATTAGCAGCCTCTTCTCTCTCTTGCACACATTTCTTTGTTTGTTTTTTAAAATTCGTATCTATCTTTTTATTTAGCTTTAATGTAGGGACAGCACAGCTTTGCTAGGAGTGAGTGAGAATGTCTGGAAGAATGAGATTTCAAAAATAAGTTGCTGTGAAATGCGTCTCCACTCTTAACTGTCGCTGGTTTCAAATAAGTTCCAGTTTTACAGCTACAACCCATATGGTTAAAATTGGCAGAGTTTTGGTCAAAGCATTGAGAACAATTTCATCCCAGTTCAGGGAAAAATACATGTATGCCAGCAGATAAAGGATCCTGTATTGTTAACAGTACAGCTGCTAAAAAATAAAATAAAAAAAACCCCAGTAATAATCACAGGTAAAAAGTCCCTACTGCAGCTATTTTAAGGATAACTTCTTATGTACAACTTTGTAGCGTAGTCCTCCTGAGCTGCTATGGTGACTGGGGGCAGTGGGGGTGTGGGGGCTTGTTTTGTTTTCAGACTCAAATACTCAATGGCTCGAATTCTGATAGCAAAAAGTCAACCCCACCTTTCCATCTGGCACAAAGATTATCACCGCAAACACAGATTACATATTTTCACCTGCCCCCAAAACACAGGACAGAGTTTCTTACCTATCCGGTCCTCGGGAATCAGCGATTCAATTGGGGGATCGAGTTCGGAGCTTTGGGACAAATAATTCTTGACTTGGGTCATGAACTGCCGAATCGTTTGCAGCATATCAGTGCTTGAAACATGGCACTCCTTGTTTTCCTGGAGAAAGCTGACATAGTCCTGCACTAGGCATCCAAAATAAGTGCGTTTGTCCTGGGACATCTCTGCAATTTTCTTAATCATCCTCTTTTCAGGGGTCATGAAGGAACTGAAAACTCCACTGACTTTCCGTAGCTGAGACTTCACAATCTTGGGGAGAACAAACGAACTGTTTCTTTTCTTCTTGGGCTTCAAAGGGGGTGCCATGCTCTCTTGGTCGCTTTCCCCCTCAAAATCCTCCAGACTGCTGTTAGTGTCCCCCTCATAGCCAAACAGCGGCATGCTCCGATCGAAGTCCAGCGAGTCGGACGAGGAGGTGGAAATGCTCATGTCGCTCAGTCTCTGCCTGCCTCCATTCCACGGTATGTGTGACTCAGAGCCGGTAGCTACCGTCTTTTTGGCAGCTGCTGGAGGAGGCTCAGGCAGGGTTTCACCTGGAAGGCCAGCAGCTTCGGGCACGCTCACCGAGCTGCAGCCAGGTCGTACTACTGCCGCGGTCTTTGAGCCGCCTTCTGCCTCTGAGCAAACAGCCTGCTTCTTCAGCCGAGGAGGTGGAATGGGGGTTGGTTTATTCTGCAGCAAATCCAAGCCTCTCTCTTTCTTATGGTTGACTGTTTCTGGCATGCTCGCCTGCTTTATAGTCCTGGAAAGCTGTGGACTCGTGAGTATGCTATTAATAGAAGGAGGTGGTGGCCGGGGCGGGGGGGAGCGAGGCCTCACTGTGCCATTCACGTCTTGAGTTCTCGGGCTCTGCCTTTTCAGACTTCCACTGACATCCTGGCTGTGCACTTTTAAGAAGAGGGGATTAATGAAACACAGCGCTCCGTTGGTCTGGCTACACTCCAGCTCCGAAGGCGTTCTGGTTCGTATAGAATGCACTCCATTTATAAGGCAGAGCTGACGCGAGTCTTTACAAGCACTGTCCAAAGGCACAGGCCTGCAGGGAGGTGAAGGATCCGGGGGGTTGCTGTTAGCCGGGGAGCTCCAAAAGTCTGAAAATCATCATTGCGTTAACATAAGAATGCAAAACGGCACGCAGACAGCTTTCAGAACATTCAGCTCAATGTCACCAGTTTCAAGTATTAAGAAATCTAGACAAGCTTTTATTAATTCGAGGTGGAGGAGTTGGGGGGGGAGACAGAGGAAGAAATTCCAAGCAAACTTCTTCAAGCACCAGACAGAACTGCATGCTACACTCTGGGGGCTGCTCTTACTCATTTATAAGTATCATGAGCAACGCACAGCTTCAGATCAGCCCACTGAACTAAGCTGCAACAAAATAGTTCATACCAACTTGAGACTGAAATGAACATAAACTACTCACTAGCATCTCACTCAGGAGAAATAAGCTTGGATTCTCAGCTGGTATTAATAAGCTCACTCCATTAAAGACAAAAGTTAGGCTGATTTACACCAGCTGATGGACACTGATGGCAGCTCAACAAACATTTTGGTTTGGTTTCTTTTGATGGTGAACAAATGAAACTACACATGAAAAGACAGCTCACATTTTGCTGTGGTGGGTACACACACAATCTTTAGCTACACGGACCAAATGCTCAAGTGTCTTTAAGAGTGCTGGCCTGCAGCCCTGCCTTTGCACTGGTGACACAGTTTGCCTGAGGTTTTAGACACTCAGCAGCACATAAATAGACCAAATGTGCAGTCCCACACCAGCAGTGTGGAAAATCTGTGCTAAACCAGCAAGTTTCAGCTGCAGCCTCTGCACTTGTCCCAGCAAAGCGTCAGTTTGTGAAGCTGTGTCAACGGTAAAGCCCGTCAGCTACCGACAGTACGAAGATCGAAAGCAGACAAGCCCTTGAGGACAGCAATCGGACCAAAATAAGAGCAGAATACCAGAGACTTTGCTAAAATTTGCCAGTCTTGACATGGCCCCTTCTCCTCTAGTGTCAAGATGCCTCATGTGGGCTGTGGAGCAATGACACCTGGGCCCAACTGCACGAACGTCAAGCGCTCCACAACAGGGTTCTTGCCCAACTGCGGTGTCTTGCCTACGGGGCAGAAGACAGCAAATGGCCCTGGTGACAGGCCACTGCCAGAGAACATGTGAAGGCACCAACATATCTCTCTATGTAGTCATGCAATGCTGCTGGTTTTCTCCTGCTCCGCGACTTCACATCCTGCCTGCAGATCCCTCAGCAGACTGGCTAGCGTGCCTGGCACGTGGCCTATTGCAAACACACATGATGTAAGTGCCGCTGCAGGTGAAACACAAGTGAGATGGAGAGAGGGAATATTATGCTCAGCATGCGAAACCCTACAGGTTGGCAACAGCCTTGAAACCTTTACCATCAGTTCTTCCTGATACACTTTGCTAGGCTACGTACTGCTGACCTGCCTCGTGCAGTTCTCCCTCTGAGTCCACAGCATAACAGAGCTCTAACAGGAGCTACAACCCTCTGCGTTCAGAGCAGGGTGCTTTGTGCCTATGTGTTGCGTAAGGAAAGCTCACACTTAACAGAAAGGGCCCTTTGGAGTTTTTAGGCATCTCATGGTTCACAGCGTTGAAGGGCTGACTTCCTGGTGGCCTCTTTTGCATGGGGACACCTAAAACTCCATCAAAATTTCAACTTTATTGTTGGTTTTTGCTCACAGAAACTGTGATCTTAATCTGGTGTACAGTAGGTAACTGATCCCAAATACACCAACCACACGGTTCGATGCTGATCCGTCAGTCTCCTCCTCAGCTTTCAAATATACTAACTTAAAGAAATGACACACACAATGTAGACAGAGACCAGTCAAAAGCAAGACTAACTCTGCAGCAAGTAGGCCATGGTGCTCTCAGGACAATGACAGTGTGGTTAGTCTAGAGAGCTTGCTCAACCCCACCATTATCATCTCCTAAGAAAAAACTCACCTAATGTCATGTTATGGCTTCCAGGTGTCACTGGGAGACTTGTCTTCACTACACTGTATCCCAGCCAGACTTTTTTTTTTCCTGTCCAAATATTCACCTAATCAACAGTTCCATGTTTGCCTCTATACCATGAAAATCCATAGTTCCGTATAATTACCTAAATTTGCAGATAAGCAGTGCAGAAGTCCTTTGTCTCCTCTCTAAAACAAATCCCTTAATTGCATCACTACTGCAGCAAAGTAGTGAAGACTTCCTTGTACATGGCTTTGCTGCGAAGTCCCACCAAATAGTTCTACAGAGCCTCACGCTAACACTGATTTAGTGAGGATCTGCTTCTAAAAAGATGATTCAAAAAAATCTACTGGGGCAAACACTGCTGACAGTCAACCCTCCCTTCCTGCAAAAGGAAGTGAGGCCATTCAGCACTTTACAAGCAGTTGCTTAATACGGGTGGAGCCCGTGTTTCAAAATCCCACCAGGCTTTGCTTCTCCTGCAAGCTCAAGGCACGTTTTCCAATGATCCTGTATTTGGTTGTAGCAGTCAAGCAACGCAAGGACATGTCCTTGCATTTTCTTTCTTTTGTTATATTAAGTGTTTCACCAAACCAATGCACATGGATACATTCTGCAGATCCAATGTATGCACTCCTCCTCCTATTAATATGCTACTGCACTGAGCCACTGATCTAAAAAGAAACCAAATCAGCACTCTAAAATTACTTGTCAATCTGAAAGACGTTTTATTAACAGTGAACCTCAGTTCCTATGCTCTCCTAGCAATTCCAGCAAATGATCAAGCTAGTGCCTACTATGTGAGCCTGCATCCAGCGTTAGCCCTTGGAGGAGAGGCTACATCAAACCTCTGTCTGGGATTGTAAGACTTGCTTTTCTCAAGGGCTGCCCAGAGAGGGGAGAGGAGAAGGGAGGAAAGAAACAGCACTAACAAAAATGTCACAGAAGGCACAGAAGGAAGGAAGAGCACCAAGGTCACCATTTGGCAAGTACAAAGTTTGGGCTTCCCAGTAAGAGAAACTGCCTTTCTGAATGTAATCTGCATCATCACTGACTACTATGAACTACTTACTGATACAGGCTATTTCCTCAAGCTTACAGCAATGCTACAGGGAATGGCATCTACGTAGAGAACTACTTACTCAGTCCAAGCTGAGCAATCTCTTCAAGTTCAGCTTCTGTCTTTGCTGCAGCAATAGCATGAGGCAACTTCAGGGTGAATGGAAGAACATCCCTGTTGTCGAACAGAAAAAGTTATGGTTTGCACAACAACATCCATAGCTTTAAAAACATTTATTTTCAACATTGGCAGGGGTTGAGCTCTAATTCTTATCTTCTTATTGAGCATGTAGCAAGAGTCTTAAACACACAGCGAAAACATTACCAACCCCAGGGCTCCCTACATTGGAAAGTGGTGTGAAGTGCAAATGAGTCAAGTCCCTATGACTCTCTTTAGGCTCATTTCCACAGAGCCATCCAGTATTTTCTCCTATTACAGCACAAGCTGTTACACCTGGTCTTTTACAAGCATACCAGTGAGATGCTTAAGCATTATCTGCCCTTAATCCTTCAGCGAAGCTTCTTATTTTCTGAATACGCTGTTGATTGCTCTCAAAGCTGAATTCCAGTTCTCAGAATAAAAAAGTAAATGAGTACTTGGGCAGCTACCCTAAAATATTCTAAGCTATGATGTTTTGGTGCTACTCTGTCCTAGGCTGAAAACACTTCATTTAAGAAAATCTTTGTAATTTATTCTCATGTGGTTTCTCTTCACTGCATACCAGAAGTTCAGTAGATGTTTGCAAAGGGAGATACATGAATGCGTGAACGACGACATAAGCCAAACCTGGTGTAAAAACCTTTTAGACAGAGATTTTAAGGAATAAAACTACTTAACCGTATGTACATCGTATGAGTACTACCATCAACCAGTTCTACACCTCTTGCCTGCCTAACTGGTACCGATACACCCTCTAACAACACTGCACGATAAACTGCAAAATCTGCAGTAGAAGTACCTATGTAATTAAGAGTAAATGAGAACAAATGGAGCACAGGAATCCTACATACAACTGGTATCAGCATAATTTTTTTTTAAGGTTGCGAACAAGCCAACCATCTGTGGAAGCACAGGCAGTGGGTTTTTAGTCACATGAATATTCTCTCTGTTATATATTAACTTGTTGAAATAACATGATCTCAGAACGCCACTCCAATTCAAATCAAGCACATGCACGAGTGATTGATACACTAGCTAAAATGTATTTTAAAAGACACTTTCAACATGTTACCACAGATAATCTAGAGTCTAGAAGGTTATCACAGGCTCAGTGCAAAGATAGGCAACTCTTGGCTCATATAAACTGACTGGCTATCTATCACAAGAAATTCCCTCTGGTTTTAGGAAATCATCCTGGTTTTGCTGTGATGTACCAAATGGTACTCTCTCTTTCTCACAATAGCTACCTATCTGCTTCCCTGAGAAGCCTATACATTTTCCTCTTGCATCCACAGCAATCCTAGCCTGCTGCCTGAAGAGGACAAGGGTGCTGGGCAGATGCTGCCACCTAAGAAACATTAGGCAAACAGAAACGCTTGGGATGTTTCTCCACTGAATGGGGAAATAAGCATCTGCGTCCAAAAGCACACCCGTGAGCTTCGTAGACTGAAATCTATGGACAGGTTTGCAGCTGAAGTTGTATTTATTACTGGTATCTGTGGATGGGCTTGAAGCTGAAGTTGTGTTTAAGAAGATGCACTACAAAAGCTTTAATGCCATGTGTAAGTTGCAATCACCACTCTTTTCACTTCCTTCCCCAAAGGGCAAAAAGAAAAGGAACAGAACAATAAACAGGTGAAGAGCCTCGTTATGCAGTTTTGTACGTGCTTCCTGAATGGGAGGCCTGACTGCATCAGGATACTAAATTCACACTTGGCTGACTGAAACACCATTAAGAAAATTAGAGCCACTTTGAAGAGAGAGATTCTCAGTTATGACACTCATGAGCAAGGCAACAAGCTACTGTGTGTTTGTGGGCTTACTTTTAGCAAACGTGAAGCAACTTGGAGCCTTCAGCAAAAGAAAAGAGATAAATTAATGAAAAAAAAACAAAAACAAAAAACCCCCAAACATCTACGTTTGCTGCATGCTCCCTGTAGGCACTTAGAGGGAATTTACCAGAGCCTGGCTGGTGCGCAGAACTGAAAGGTTGACAAGATAAGGAGCCTCTCTTCATTAAACTGCTTTTTAGATGCAGTTTCAGCTCATTTCTCATCCGAGTGCTGACCATTACTTATGTGGTATAGATGCTTCTCTCATCACACGCATGTACAGCTTGGCAAAATGGAGGCCTGTAACAAGGCGGGTCTGGATGCTTCACCACCACAAACCAAACCAGTAAGCACAGCAACCGAAGTGCAGCTGTGCAGCTCTAGTGAGCGTCCCCCACAGCAGACGTCATCACTGTCAGCACTAATTGGAAACCTCAATGCAGTAAAAGGACCGAGACCATCAAAGTTGCCTCTCCCTCCTCCCTTCAGAAAACATGCAGATGTGCAGTTTGGCCGTGCCCTGGCTGTGGATAAATGTAAGGCTTGAGCATCAGTCTGGAAGCTTTCACCAGTGAAGTCAAACTGAAAACAACTTAAAAAGATAAAAGCAATCAGCTATTTTTTCTCTGCACACTACCTGGAAAACAAGTTGGGCAACCATAAATTGGAAAGCTCCATTATGCTCCAAAAATGTTTTTTTGCTAGCAATTCCAAGAAACAGGCATTGCAAGATAGCTTATGGTGCTTATTAAATGAGTTACAGAGCAGTTAAGAAAGCATTACAAGATACCAGTTAAAGTAAAGCTCAACTTGGCAACACCTCACAGTTGGGTGGGTAACATACTACCAGCCTTCCAATAATCAGTACCAAATAAGACAGACAGATTTGCTTCCAATTCACATCTCTTATTTCTCCCATTACCTTCTTTTAAGACTCGAGACACTCATTTTTTTCAAGAGTCTAGCAAATGCAACTCAGAACATAACCATCTTACCTGCTAATACAGTAGAAAGCAATGAGCCTGAATAAATCTGCAAAACTTATTCCAGACCCCTCCAAGGAAAACGCTGCAAAGAAAGTTACAAGAGGAAAAGAATCACGCATCTATCCACCATTTCTTAGAAAAGCTTAATAAAATGAATCTCAGATTTTCGCATAAAATTAGTAAGTTTGCACCATCAAACTAGCTACTGTTCGGTTAAGAGAAAACAACTGTGTGGAGGAGTACGTGTCTCTGCTAAAGGCATTTTCAAGAATAGCCTGATAGTCTTGGTGGTGGGTTTGTTTCTGTATTCCAAACATACGGTCTAATACCCAGGAAACAGGTCAAGTGCGATTAGAATTGCACAACATTTTGCTAATAGGCAATAAATCAGTAACTGAGGCTTTGCTTGCCCACTGTACTAATACACCTAGTTTTAAATCTCTTATTTCCTCCTCTTGCATTCCATCCTACTCACTTGTCTTCTCCCCAGATGTGTGAGCACCCAACGGGAGATGATACATTTTCATTGACTTGAAGAAAACTATTTAACCTGAAAACCCTTTTAAAAACACTCAGACAATTCTGCTTTGTGCCATTGCCTGGCACAATGGGGGAGGAAGACACAAGCAATGCCTTTTGTTTTTTCCCCTCCATACCACCGTTTCTCATTGATATAAATACTCAGTCACAGTAATGATGACACAAAAGCGATCGCCACCTCACTTAGATTAAGCGCTCTCCGATTCCAGCAGCAAGTCTCACCCAGTGGCCACAGAGATCAAGCAGAAGCAGCTCCTAGAGTGAAATGATCTAGATCTTTTGCCTCTGGACATGACTGAGACCGGAACAACTAAAGGAAGAGCATTTATGAAATGTAACGGTAGCGTAAGACAGGTCCCTGAAGTACACCAACGCTGGTCTCTTCCAGCCTCGGACAACTTCTACGGGGGGGAATGTGAAGTCTGTGATTGTTTCAGCCCATCACAGAGTTAGAGAACCCAGATCACGGGGGTGAATCTCCAGCTGGTGTGGTGCACACACTGTCACCATTTAACCAGCAAAGGAATGCTTTTGAAATTCATCTCCCGATGAAAGTACTTCCACTGCTGCAGAGGCTTCAGACATCTGGGCTGAAACAAGGCAGACTCCCGTACTTGGTGGGGAAAGACCCACGCCATGCAGCAGCTTTGGATACCTCAGCAACGCCTCTCAGTGAGTAGCGAAGGTGTAATTTTGGCAGTACTCCATGCAGTAAGGCCAGTTCCCTCACACAAGGCTCCAGTGCTACTGACTATAAACTCTGCATGTGAACCAGAGGAAAACCCAAGTCAGGTACTGATCTTTTATCCAACTTTTACACTGAAGAACAGGTCAGCCTGGTCATTTATGTGCCTGGAAAAAGGGGTATCTAAGAGAGACGCAAAAATGCAGACATTAGCCATGCAGGCGATATGGGGGTGGGCTAAGAGAAGATGGATGTTCAGATCCCTGACTACAATTAAAACCTCAGCTATGACTCGTGAGTAAAAATAAATAAATAAATAAATAAATAAATAAATCAGTAGATACTTCCCCCTTGTGGTAAAATTTTTTTCATGAAAGCCAATATCTTATTATTTTATTTTCTAGATGGGAGAGAGGGAATTCATCAGTGTAACAAACCTACCACCACAGCCTTAGATCACACAGATTAAACAGCCTGCACTACTCCCAGTCAAGCAGCTTTCCACAAATATTAATTCACTTACGTGAGAGAGATGCCTTTTTGGCTGAAAAAAAAACCAAAACAGAAGAAACCCTATCACTGATAGCTTTCTCTTCTCTTTGCCATGTCTTGTTTGTAACTGGAACCAAAACCAGACACGTGGAATTAACATTTTGTTGCTGGGGGTGGGGAGGGAAAGATAAAAAGGAAAAGCTCAACTAAAATTATCTCAGTTTACCAATAGGAATAGAAGTTAGCTACAGACCCTCTGCTTCAGGGAAGCTGAATTGAATTTGTTGCTGATTTTCTCCAGTTTTCACTTTCTTTTTAAAATGAACCATTTGCTCCATTTGCAGTTTCGGCACCACATACACTCACCAGCTGCAGCTTCCTTTTTTCATTCCTATATCCCAAACATATTTTTCACACCCTCCCTCTAAAGAGATGGGGGCAGTGTTGTTTTGAAACTGACTGGAACTCTAACATTTGCTTATTTCTATTAGAAAACAGGGAACAAATATAGTTGGAATTAAAAAAGAAAATTAATTTACCTTGCATCAGAAACAGTTCCAAAGGGTTAAAATCCATCTAGTTATTAAGTTTTAAAAAAACCCCACACCCAAATTTGTAGGCAGAGAGAGCTCATGACAGAGTTGCATGCAAGAACAGTCCCCTGAGTACAAGGAAATGCAAGGACATTTCATTGATAGCAGACAGAATTATAGACACTGTTTCTACAGAAGAGGATAACTACCCATCCAGCACAGACTTAAGCTTTTCTGCCTATCTTCCCCTCTCCAGGATACGCCTAACCCACACGCAGAACCCTCTGCAGAGAGCACCGCAGGCAGTCTGTGACACTGTTTGCATGGCTTTGGTTATCTTCTGCTGTGGGTTTCACCAGTGCAGAGTGCTCCTGGCTCATACAGGGTGACAAATAGCTGAAAATTATGTAACTCACAACTTACTGTATGTGCTTTCTTTTATGGCAAATTCCTTTAGGCAGGACCCACAGTCACCAGGCAGACGCAGAGAGATGACTTTCTTCTGCAGTCTTGCAGATTTCCTAACCAGAAATATCTGTCGTGGAGAAGGCAAAAGGACGCGGTTTTAGCATCATCCACAGATACCTTAATAATTAGAGACAATTTAAACACAAAGGGAACCAGAACAACTTCGTGATCTCTGATCCATCTAAAACGTCTCAGAATTTTACTCTGTTGTTACTGTATCAGGTCCAACAGCTTGCTGTAAAACAGCAGCAGAATATTTAGGAAAGCATCTCATCCTTGTGTAACACAGGCACATGACACCAAGTCTATTATGCCCTTCGCCAAGCTCTCCAGTTTAACACACAGCAAAGCCCGAGCCTTGCGCCAAGCTGCAGAGTCTGGAGGAGACTGATGGTGGAGTGCTCCTGCGCCCCACCAGCCCATTCCAGTCCTGCACCAGGATGGAGGCAGCATTAGAAACACGCCAGCCACCTCATCCAAGCAGACAGGGCCTGGTTTCCACCATGGCTACTTTAATGCAGGCACCAGTGAAGGATAAAATGCTGGAATTTCCCATTTATCTATTGCTTTCTTGTTATGGTGGAAATACATCTGTTACACATTGTGCTGGTTTTGGCTGGGACAGAGTTAATTTTCTTCATAGCAGGAAGTATGGGGCTATGTTTTGGATTTGTGCTGGAAACAGTGTTGATAATTCAGCGATGTTTTGGTTATTGTTGAGCAGTGCCTACACAGTGCCAAGGCCCTTCCTGCTCACCCCACCAGCGAGTGGGCTGGGGGCGCACCAGGAGCTGGGAGGGGACACGGCCGGGACAGCTGACCCCAACTGACCAAAGGGATATCCCACACCGTGTGACATCATGCTCAGCATGCACAGCTCAGGGAAAAAGGAGGAAAGGGGGGATGTTGGGAGCGATGGCGTCTGTCTACCCAAGTCACTGTTATGCATGATGGAGCCCTGCTGTCCTGGGGATGGCTGAGCACCCGCCTGCCGATAGGAAGTGGTGCATGAATTGCTTGTTTTGCTTTGGTTGTGTGCACAGCTTTTGCTTTCCCTATTAAACTGTCTTTATCTCAGCCCATGAGTTTTCTTGCTTTTACCCTTCTGATTCTCTCCCCCATCCCACCAGAGGAGAGCAAGTGAGTGGCTGTGCAGGGCTTAGTCGCCAGTTGGGGTTAAACCACGACCCATGCAACCCTGCTTAGCAAGGTCCAGCTTTGGAACTGTAATTGCAGCAGTCTAGTTGTCAGGTCCAGAGGACCCCAAATTAGTGATCAACTCATCAGCACAGGTAATGGGTCACTCTCCAACTGGCCCAGCTGCCAAGCACTCAGGAAGCCCTCACTTGGATTATCCAAAGCACAGAAGAGACGGAGGTGGGGTGGTGGTTGGTTGTTTTTTTGTTTGGTTGGTTGGGGTTTTTTTGTTGGGTTTTTTTTGGGGGGTTGGGCTTTTTTTTGTTTGTTTGTGTTTATTTATTTATTACAACTAACACTTGCATCAAATAAACTGAAATACAACTTCTTACCCCAGGAGGCTGGGCCTGCAGAATTTCCACAGCTTCAGCATCATTCAGACCAAGCTGCAGCCACACAGGGTGAGTATGAAGAAGCTTGTCCAATATGCTTAGCTTGTTGGATAGACTGTCATATCCAGAGTCCCGGGGGCAGCTTTTTACATCGTTTTTCTCAGGAGAGACATTATCCATGTCCTTTACTAGACTGTGAAAAAATGTTTAAAAGTTAAGACATGCTAATCTCCTATAAACAATCACTCAGTTCAGCAAACAGTTGTCATGAAGGTAATGGCACTACTGGCACCCTGGCCTGGTATTTCTCCTACCAAGAATTCCTATAATTAGTATACACAAAAATTCTCTTATCCATAATATTTCTTTCTTTCACTTGTCCTCAATTTAACAGCTAGCTTTAAGATAAGCCCTAGCATTCTTCTATTAGCTTGTTGAAATTCAGCAATCACTTCAGATACAAGTGCGTATGCATATGTGATTGACTGAACATTTCACCTCCTTTCCTTGTTACGTTCACATTTGGAAAAACTTCTCTTCAAAGGTACTTATGCAATTCAGGTATTTTTATTCCCAGATACATTGCAAAAGCTGCAAGCCACAGAAATCCTCCTCTGTCCTGCCTGACAGAAAAATCTGTTCAATACTCTGCCAAAGGAGCATCCCACTACCTGCTGGCAAGCGCTGCACCAAAGACAAGCACTTTGTTTACTTGTAGGAGTTATTTTCACAACAGAAGCCAACAAACTAGCGTCACTTCGGCTTATTCCCAGACTACTCTATCTGCTCCACCAACCCTATCATCTTCGCAGCTGCATGTCCATCTCTATTCCCCTCTGCTAACGAGCAGTCAGAAACAGGAGAAAACAAAAAGGGGAAAGAAAAGGAGAAAAAAAAAGAATTAAAAAAAAAAATGTTAAATCCCCCAAATAAGTCTCCCTAAGGCACAGCTTCGTTAAGAAATCATCCTAAGTGGTAGTAATTTTTTATGGTCCATGCTCTAAATTCTCTAAGTATTCACAATTTTGGCATTTTGCCATGAAAGGTCCTTACCTCGCATTTTAGTACCACACTTTCTGGGATCAGAAGCAAGTAAGGAATTGTATGTTACTTAACATCCTTTGGCTCCAGAGTGACTCTTTTGTGAGGAATAAAGGCTAAGCTAAGTGTGAATGTGGCAAACTAATGTAAGGTTAAAATTTATTTGGGGCAGGGCAGCTAAAGTTACTGATAAATTCAGTAATGAAGTACAGTTCTTGGAGGCTATGGACACTTGTTATGCCTTAAAAATCCAAATAAATGGAATATTTTGAGAGCTGCTTTTGTTATCCAAAGCTTCGCCATCATTCATATAAGTTCGACGGCAAGCGTGTGGCTGGTTCAAATTCCTCATTTTTGAGCTAGAAGTACATCCTATGATTCTTCCAGTGCTAGAAATCACCGCAGAACAGTTACTCTGGTAACAGCTTCCTGGTGGCAGTATTTGAGCATAGACAAAAGACACCCTGCAAGCTCAAGATCTGCCTCGCTGAGAGGCACAGAGGCTGCGTTCTCCCTGCAGACCTTTTCGGACGGCAGAATAGGCCCCGAGCGGCAGAGAGCAACACAGCTGCATTACCCCACTGCAAACTGTCGCACAGCTCTGCCGAACTTTGTGTTTTGGACAGGCAGTAAGCATCATTAACAGTACTTACCACCTTCATTATGCCAGTTACTGTACCCAGAGCAAGCGGGTAGAGACTTCACAAGCACAGAAGCACCGAATACTTAAAACCAATCAACCAAACATCCGTGCCAGTGCCAGCCCCCCACCCCCACCCCCAAACCCATCAACCAAACAAGAAAACCCCCAAACAACTCTTCCGAACTTTGTGTTTTGGACAGGCAGTAAGCATCATTAACAGTACTTACCACCTTCATTATGCCAGTTACTGTACCCAGAGCAAGCGGGTAGAGACTTCACAAGCACAGAAGCACCGAATACTTAAAACCAATCAACCAAACATCCGTGCCAGTGCCAGCCCCCCACCCCCACCCCCAAACCCATCAACCAAACAAGAAAACCCCCAAACAACCAAACTGCTTTTTTCTAGCTTTGGTCAGCAACTCGCAGCACCTCTGGACAGGGCTAGAAAGGAAAGTAAATGGGGTAAAGAACTTTCACTGCATGCTCAGACAAGAACAGGCACAATCAATCAAACTTTACTACCTGGATCAATTATCACTACCTATGCACCTCTCCCTTTTTGTTCTCTTTCTCTGTTTGCTTACTTATGATGTGATGCCTTTTAGATTTGCAAGGCATCTAAAATGCAGGTGATCTTCCCTCTCTGAGAGCCAAAAGCTGTTAGTAACTGTCAATATGCCTTCAGGGGGCACAAAATACACAGACACACGTTGTGTGCAGAAGGGAAGTTGTGTTTACATCAGTTACGACAGGGCTCTGGAACGGCCATAATAGGAATCCTGGGTTCCCCTTTCAACCACGGTGCTGGGAGAACCTAGTGTTGTAACGTAAGAAACCCCACAAAAGCCAAATGGTGAATCACAAAAGTGTTTTCATGAGCTGTACCTCCAGTAAATATTTCTCAGAAACTTCCTGCTCACCTTCAGAGCCAGTTAGCGATGTTACAAACCAGAGATAGCTGTGGCAAAGAGCAAGTTACACACAGACACTGGCTGTAGGCTTACCTAGATATAACTTCCCTCCTTGGTCAAGAAGTGGAAACAAAACATGTTGCAGAGGGAACTTTTTTTGCCTACAAAAGAAGTTACATCACATGCAAAAGAAGGTGCATGACTGGTGTCAGCTATAAGGACTGGTGCTGCTTGCTACCACGGAACAACCTAAAGCTAGTAAGAGTTTGCACATGTACAGAGGGTGACAGTGTTCCTCTTCGGTATGGCTGCCTTAATGTTGTCAAACACACCCAAACTGTTATAAACCGAATGATCAATTTGAATAGGGTGCTGTTGGGTTTTTGGAACCTCCAGGTACTTACATGGACAATCCCTCCCACATGCTGAGATCCAAGGAGGAACGCAATCTGTGAGCCCACACCTTGCTGACTTAGATACACATGCACCTCCGTGTTGCAGCTGCTTTTGCCCCCTCAGGAAATAAGCCAAAGATTACGAGTATCTGATCACGACGAGACTTTCTGCTGCTCCTAAACAGTACCAGTTTAAATGTCCCTGATGCACCTCAGCTAGACCGGTACTAGTATGTCATTGCAATCCACAGGAAGGTAAACTAGGAACAAACAACACTTTAAAAAAGTATTTCCTACCCAAATAATAAACAGAGAGGCAAAGAGAAAGATCAGACCTAGAGAACTCTGGCAAGAGCATAGCTTGGGAAAAACCACATCTGGCAAACCACATCCAACCTACGAGAAGCCACCTCCCCAGGTCCAGGAGGCAAACGCAGTCAGAAGTCCACTGGTGTGTTTTGACAGCCTATTTGCAATGGCCTAGCACTACTGAGCATCATCATCCGAGTTTGGTTTTTATTCTTAACATTATTTTAATTAATGATCTGGGCACTAAACACACAGTCAAACCCTGACACACGCGAGTTCTTGAAATTTGTCATGTCAGAGTTAGACTGCAAAATTATTTGGGACTGGGATGTGCGTGTAACTTCTTTGGAAACAACAGCATGGAAAGAAGAACCGTCTGAATTCCTCACGATCACCTGATTAATTCAAGCCTACAGAATAAGAAGTAGCTATAACCTGAACGCTAGCACAATATGCTGCATGTTACGCAACAATTAAATTCCTCTCCTAGTTTTACTTTTGGGGTCTTTTTGTTTGGTTTCAGTTTTGTTTGTTTTGGTTTTTTTTTCAGTGACTCCCAATAAAAGACAACCTGACTAGGTCACATTAAACTCAAAATCGAAACACAAACCAGCCTCCATGGATGGTCTACCTTAACGCAGGGGTACTACACTGGTTCCTCTGCAGTGGGAGAGGAGTTTCAACACAACTCACAAGGAATTAACAAAAATACATAATTCATGCAAGTTTCCTTAGATTTGAGAAAACCCCTAAGCTGTGGGAAGTAAGCAGAGGTAACTGCTAAGATAAACAATGCTGTCCTGCATCCTGATTAGACTTAGCTCACAGTAAAAAGGACAAGGAGCAGGCTGAAGCCTGTAACCAGGATGATCCTCTCTCTCGCACCCACAGGGCTGTAACACACACCTCGGTCGCGTACCTACGAAGCAAATGCTCCTGCCCTCCCACTCGCTACAGCAATTGTCTTTTGGTCTCTGAAATCCTACCTACGCCTCTTGCTCTGAGCCTTGTAAAACCTAACCTTCTGACATTTCTCCCATTTTTTTGTGGGACCTGTGACAACGAACCGATCTGCTCTCTGAAACTACTGCCAACCTCCCCAGTCTCCTGCATTGACAAACGCTGGCCTGAGGAATGGACTTTTCTCTCTTTGGGGTTACGGACACAGTGAAGGTGCATCCAGCTTGCATGCATGTCCTATCAGGATGACCAATGCTGTTCCATGGGTTTGCTGTGTTGAATTAAACCAAGCCAGCTGCTGTAGGGTTTACACACACATCTCCCGCTCTGTGGAAGAACTTACCCGCCTTTCTGAGGGCATGAGAGGAGCTGTAGGATGACCTAGATGGCCATCAGCATTTGAGGGATTCGCTCTGCTCCCGCTCTGTGGAGCAGGCTGGTTATCAGCCCAAATGAAAGAGTGACCCTGGGTTTAGCCTATCATCCCAGATGCACTCACTAGCCAGGAGGAGGGTCCTAGTGAGAGACCAGGTTTGATACTATACTGAAGATAAGGACTCTTAACTTGCACTTGAATGGGTCCACATTTCCTCACTGCATTTTTTGCCTGGATCAGCCTCTGGTTTTAGGGTACCTGCACACCAGGATCGTTACAGCTGAAGGGACAGGACAAAGCTGCTGGGGAAAAGGTTGCTGGATACTGGCCTACCTGTCAACAATAACGGAAGCAATTCACCATGCAAGACACAGAAGGTGACTCTACTTAATAACTGCTGTGGAAAAATGTAGAAGACATAGGCGTAAGGGCTGTCCAGTGCAAACCACCAGGGAGCGAGCAAAGTTCCGCCCTTGTTCCTGTCACGGTAACAGAGCAGGAAGGGAATAAGCTGCAGCAGCTGCCCCCTCCAGCAAAGCATCCCCAAATCATTGC